TGGAGATTCAGGCCAGGGGAACCTCTGATCATTTGAACTCCTAAATCTATCACAAAAGTTGCTTCTCTATTTAGTTATTTGAACTCCTGGTGAGGCCTAGTGGAACAAGTAATCCAAACTAGTGGATAATCCAAAAATGTCATTTATATTTGGCTTTGGAATACACTACCAGATGTTACTCGAGCAGATTTCCCTTCCTAATTAGGCCTCACTTAAAGTAGAAGTTAATTTTGTCTTCATTAGCTGTTTCCAAATCAGCAGGATGGGGCAAGAAAGAAGCCCAAAGCATGCTGGGTATTTGGGGAAAGTTGGCCCAGAGCAGAAAGTCACAGTAGATTGTGAGTGAAGAATGAAATTCAAATATGGATAATCAAGATGATGGGCATATACACTGGTAAATGTTCATAAGTACCATCTTGATGAATTCTTGGGCTTTATTAACTATTTTTTATCCTATTAATCATGAGTGCAAAAAAATTCCATAATTAGAAAGAGGTTATAAAAAATAAACTCAAATTTTGTACTGAAAACCAGAGAGGCTCAGAGAGGTTAAGTGACATCTCACACAGATTGATCTCTGGATAAACAGTACCTGTGAAGCAGAAACTGATTAATGAGTGATAAGACAACCCCCCTGTTTCCTTCTTATTGATGATTTGAATAATGAGGAAGCAAGAATTCTTGTGGCCCTAATTCACATTAAGAGAGCTAAGATAATGAAGCTGTGATTAAATGGCTATTAAACTATTTTTATCAAACAGAGATCAAGTGAGTGTGAGAATCTGGGGATGCAGAGTGTAATTGCAATTCTACAAGATGCAGAAAAAATTACTATCATAAGCAGGACATGGTCCTTCCATAATAGCCTCCATTTAGAATCTTTGGGATACCACATGCAGTTTTCCCTCTGCCTTTCTTCCTTCAGGTGTCCGTTAGCATCCCAGAGCCCCACATCTCTTCCTACATTGTGAGGAGGTAGGATTCTGTAGTATATACAGTTGGCTGAACTAAGTGGACCATTTGCCCCACTATATAACACCTGCTGAAGGATCCTTTGCCTCTGATCACAAAGAAAGAAAGCCAAGAACACACACCAACTCCAAACTTTCATTCTTGATGTGACCACAAACACTTGAACAGGCATGCTCTTCAACTGTGCCTTTTGGATTATGTCAGAATTAGGACAGGTCATCTAGGGACATGACAGTAGTCCCAGAAAGCAGAGAAGAGCCTTTAAAATTTGATTCTAAGTTGTGATTGGTTAGAGTAAGTGACTTCCTATATCATCTGTCATTGGAAATTCTTTACACCTAGAGTGAGGTTTTGTTGCCATGCCTTCTTACTTCCTGGCGATTCCTTGGAGAGAGGAGTTTTACAGGCACACAGACCTTTATTTAGGTCAGAAGAAGAGCAAGAGAATCACATTGTATAAGGAGAAGCCAAGGTTGAAACCCCCCATAGGAAATAATTCTTAATAGTTACAGAGCTCAGCTGTGGAAATGCCTGTTAGCCTGGTTTTGTCTTTTACCTTCTATCTCAACTGACAGAGCCATGAACGAGCTGTAGATGCCTGCCCAATTGGAGATCTGGTTTTTGTCTTTTTTTGTGTTTTCCCTCCGCGTCACTATTTATTTTTTAACTCAGAAGGAGCTGAGACGTATATTTTTGTAAAAAAGCAATTTCAAACAATTGGAGAGTAGTATCAGGGCCACGTCTTTGAAAGGTTATCTTGCAATGTCATTTTACTGACTAATGTGTTTCCACACCTTGTCACTTGTGAACAGACGTGTTCGTAGGCCATTGTGCTTCATCTGCAATGACGTTGATTTATTTGCTCTGTAAATTGGGACCGCAGCAATAATGGAGAGTGACATTAATTGTTTAACGGAGTCCTCTTTGTCACATTCGTTCCCTTCTCCGGGACATATGATTGTTAAAACTTATACAGAACTAATTGAAATTGCCACAGTGAGGGGCCGGCTGTGTCCACTCAGTGTTATGTGGAGGAGGAATATTCGATGAGCTTCTACACGAAAGTATCATCAATAAATATCAAGCTTTCTCCACAGCCTTCTGTAATTAAAGAAAACACAGAAAAGTTGAGATCCTAGCATTTATTTTATTCTTCTGTAATTAAAGCAGAAATTTACGAAAATAAATGGTCTTGGAGTACCTTTTTGAGCTACCCACATAGAGGGAGGATAATAAAAATATCATAACAATAATTAATGGTCATTCTGAATGAAGGTGGAGAACATATCATGAATACAATAACTCTAGTGGTTCAGTCTAGTTGAATATAAGCCCCCTAAGTAAATTTCCAACATGAACACACACACACACACACACCACACATACACACATGCACGCACATGCACGCACACACACACACACACACACACACACACACCATGTGGTTCCAGGAGACTAGAGAATTAAAATAGTCGGTGGTTTAGTCAAATCATGTAAATTAATTATGACATTATCAAGGGCCCATATTTCTGCCATTGTATTTGATATACATTCAACTCAGTCTTATTAAAGAAATTGGAAAAACCTAGTTAATTTAAGTGTCTTTGTCATTTTGACTTGATTGGAATTATAGAAGTTTGTGTACACAAGGGATAGAGCTAAGGCGCTATTGTATTATATAATTGAAAGCAAATAGCAGCTTGTCTTAGAGCTGGAAAGCCAAACACAAAATTTAAATCAAGGTAAACAAAATTACTCATTTATTGGTAAACATTCTTAACTATTTTTCCTGAGTTGTTCTTTGACTTCCGTGAAATAAGCTTTTAACTTTTAAGAATGGGTTACTTGTGAAAAATATCCAGTTTCTTAAAGGTCTGTGTATATGTCTGCACACGCAAAGGCTATCTTGTTAGATAATATAGATATACAATCATGAAAATCTCATTCTGAGATGATTTCATATGCTGTGTATTTTATTTAGACATAATTTGTTGAGAATTTGCTTTCTTGGGGAACATAAAAGGATGTAATTAGAAGTAGTGCCTACCAGATTATGATCGTAGGCAGAAATTAAGGGAAATATTCTTACTTTCTTATTTAGATCATTTGTATCTACATGGCCCAAGAGAAGTAGAGCTGGGATGGGGGAGGGGTCGATAAGGTTTTGTTATTGAATTGTATACTTCAGATTTTAATCAATTGGTCACTTTGTAGAAGTTGAGTATGCCATTTTGAAGTTAAAAATTACCACTTTTAGTTAGGTTTTAGCTTCTTTGTGAGGGTCTAGAACTCTATCCATCTATCACTTATGTCCAAGTTACTTTACTTACAATCTCCAACACAGAACAGTGAATGAAAGATGCCACATGAATATAATATAAAATCAAGCCAATTAAAGCCCACTATGAGAAGAAAGGCTCTTCTTGGCCTCTTGAATGCAAAAAAAATGTCTAGTTTTACTCCTGGATGGAGTGGTCAGTAATGAGGGAAAACAATTTTTATGTGAAAATAGAATGTATACGTGATAAAGCTCTGCCTAATTTCTCTAGTAATACAATTTGATTTTCTGATTAGCTGTCTTATTCTGTGATTCTTGTAATTTTGTCAGGTCAATTAACTGGAGTTCAGTGCTAGAGAGAGAGAGGAAGTGTGGGCTCTGCCGGCTTCATTAGGTGTCAGTAGCTTAGGTGCATTTTGTAATAGAATCTGTGTGGGATAATTTAGCCCATATTGTTAATGTCATAGAATAGAGAACTTGACAAAAAAAAGACATTGAAAGCAGGTCAAATTGTACAAACAATATGAAGTGTCACGAGAAGGAGAAGAAAGTTATCTCCGCAATATATATTGTCAGAAATAAATTCATATCAATGAATTATTCAGCAAGTGATCATTAACAATCCATCTCTATTGAAGGCCCAGATCTAAGACTTACTGTCCAGGTATACAGACTACAACACGTTGTCTTGTTAGCAAGCCTGTAAGCTCTAGTATGGTAGCCCTTCGGTGTTCTTGTACAGAGGCTTAACACTGATACTATCTCTTTCAAAAATTGTAAATGGACTCTTGCTTTCTGCTAGCAGGGATTCTTGAAGAGATGGCATTTTGTTTTCTTTCTCTCTGCATCTCCAATTCATAGCATGCTATTGGAATTGTCTAAGGGTTCAAACCTGCTTGTGGAATGAATGGTGGAAAAGTTAGCTTTTCAAGGATGTGCTGATGAGAATGAATCTAAAAGGTGGTAAGACAAGTTAGGATGTATTTGTAGAAACCATCATGATACAAGTGCTAGAATGCTACTCCTGGCCACAAGGAATGAATGCTCTTAAAAGGCATTACACAGTTAAGGGTCAGATAAAGAGGAGTTCAAGTAGTTCCAGAGACTAAGTTCTGAAGAATTGTTTTCCAAACTGAAGAAGTCAAGGAAAAAAGCAGTTTTGCTGCGACAAGTTCAAAGTCGGGGCTTTAGAGATGAGGGAGCTGTTTGTTAGAAGGAAGAAATACCCAGTGAGAGATTTATGACTCAAGTTGGGAGAGATGTCAGAGAGAGAGAAAAAAATAAATGATTTTCTAGTGTTCAGTGATGAGATTATAATTGAAACCATGAAAGTGTATAGATTCTTTGGGTACCATTCAAATGGAAAGTTTTCTAATTTTTTTTCAGGGGGAGGGGCAGAAGTTATGCTGTAGAGGAAACGAAGCAGTATGTTGGAAGATCAAATAGATAATGGCTACAGTTTTCTCAAGTTCTGAGACTTTCCCTGAGTCTTCTCTTTTAGTTAAGAAGACACAAGAAAATAACCGTCCACAACACAATTACATACCATCCATCCATACAAAGTTAAGAGGTTGTGGAAGAAATGAGCATCTTATTCTGGTGTGAACATGGAAGATTTCACATAAGAGTTCATTCATTCAGCTCAACAAGTTTCAGACTATGCTGATTAACAGATTAACAGAGTGATCCACTTGTCAGTGTCAACTCACTGGTGTCTTCTGGGTTCTTCTTTTTTTTTCTGTTTGTGCAGAAGATAGATGAAGAGAATGAGGCGAACTTGCTTGCAGTCCTCACAGAGACACTGGACAGTCTCCCTGTGGATGAAGACGGATTGCCTTCATTTGATGCACTGACAGATGGAGATGTGACCACTGACCACGAAGCCAGTCCTTCCTCCATGCCTGACGGCACCCCTCCGCCTCAGGAGGCAGAAGAGCCGTCTCTAGTAAGAACCCTTCCTACTGTTTAACAGCAATCAGAGTTGCCCGTGGCTACCCGCTCCATGGGTATGATGTAGTAACAATAAGGTCGGGCTTTTTAATTTAGTCTAATACCAAAACAATTCCCAAATGAGCTCATAGTTGCAATTCCTGTGATTCTCTGTTAAAAGTGTTAAGGATACACAGTTCTTCTGGGTTTTTTTTTAACTCTTTCTTGGTTGTATGTGAATATATTTTTATTTCTTAGCATTATTTATATTCAAAGGAAAACCATCAGAAAAGTAGACACCTAGGAAGAAGAGACAACTTGTCTGTGATTTAAAAAAAAGCCTTCTAATATTAAAAAAGGATGAAAATAGCCTTCTGATTTTAAATATATCTTGAACATGTTGAACATGGCAGTAAATATCAACTGTATTCATCATAATTTTTAGCTATTGCATAATACTTTATTGTGATTAATTAAGTATTACCTTCTGGTTAGATGGTTGGGGTGAGTTTGCTCCCATTTGTCATGATTATGAATGTTAGAATAATGGACATGCTCTCATTTTTATTGCATGCATTCAAATCTAGAAAGAGAATTGGTAGATATGAATATGTAATATTTTCAAAGTTTGGATCCATATTTCTTATGAAGGTTGAAAAACAATGGTACATTTGCAACTTAACTTACCGAAATTTATGTTAGGCAATGAAGAGCAAATTTGATGGCAATGAAGAGTGGATTTTTCTTCTCCATGCATTGCTTCACCAGAATTTTATTAGTTCTGAGACAGTTTACCTTACCATGTACGGTAGCCATTTGTCATTTACCATAAATCTGAAGTATAATATGCTGTATAAATTATGGAATGCCTTCGACCAAACTCTAATAATGTGCTCCTGTGTGCTGTTTGGAGGTTGTTTTTCTTATGTCTCTAAAAGCATTTCTTAATTTTTTAGTGTTAAAAAACACCCTATAAGAGATGGAGAACTTGCTTATATTTCTTTGTGTTTAGTGATTTCTACTCTTGGGGAGAATATCCCCTGTGTGATATACCTGTGTTTCTTATTTATTTTTCATCTGTTATTAGCTTTAGGATCTAGCATGTGATACTAGATGATATTCTAGATGATATTCATGCTAGATGATATTCATGTACACAGTTTATTCAGCCAGGAGGGGTTGCAAAACAAAATCATCTGTACATCAGGGCAGGGAGGTCCTTGAGCGTTATCTAGTTGAGTGAAGAAACAGAGGTCAAGGAACAATAAATGTCTGGCCTGTATCAGAATCCACCTTGCCTAGTCTACTGACCAAAATTCAGCTTACAGATCCTTTCTTACCATTCTGAAACCCTCTTTTATCCCACACGTATTCTCTCAGTCAGTCAATTTGTAGGCTTGGTTGTAGAATGTAGTTCAAGGCATCAAAGAATCTTTCATTTATTGTCACTTTTTTTCCCTGGTACTGGGACATGAAATCAAGGCTGGGACATTGTCCTTTGGCTTTTTCGAAAAGCTCAAGTCTAACAGTCTACTATTTGAGCCATAGCTCTACTTCCGGCTTTTTGTTGGTCAATTGCAGATAAGAGTCTCATGGACTTTCCTGCCCAGGTTGGCTTTGAGCTACAACCCTCAGATCTCAGCCTTCTGAGTAGCTGGGATTACAGGCACGATCTTTCAGTGCCTCGTTATTTGTATTGGGGTCTTAGAAGAAGAAAATGTATATCCACTCTTCTTTGCTACCAAGGTCTAAATAAGCAAGATAATGTATTTCCCCTCATGGAGTAATGATATGAAAATTGGTTTAGGAAAAAATACTTTATTATATATAAACATAATTTTTAAATTTAAAAGAAGGTTATCAATGTTAGGTCTCAAATACAGGAAAAGGATATACTTTTATCATTTCTTTCTTATCATAAAATATTTCACTTAGCACTATTGTGCTAAGACATGATATAATAATTAGAGGATGATAGACTTTTATTTGTATTTCTAGTTAGTTGATTTTAAGTTAATAATTCTAGTTAACTTAAAGCTGAAACAATGCATAACTTTTCTTGCTTTCCCTTCTCTGATACATTTCTAGCTTAAGAAGCTCTTACTGGCACCTGCCAATACTCAGCTGAGTTATAATGAATGCAGTGGTCTCAGCACCCAGAACCATGCAAATCACAATCCCAGGATCAGGACAAACCCTGCTGTTGTTAAGGTACACATGTAAATGTCTTAATACAAGAGGGAAGGTAACAAAGGGGTTTCTGCATGGATTCATAAAACGGACTGTTAACTTTGTATGGATTCAACTCAGGGTCCAGCAGTTAGCTCAGCATGGCAAGGAAGCACTTGAGCTATTGGAACCAGAAAGAATTTGTGTTTTGTGCTTGGGTCATTGAGGAAAAAAAAAGTACAAACGTATGCAACCCATTGCCTCCTTTAGTAATATATGCCGCAGGTTGAGCTGTAACAACACGTACCGATGGGCTCATGTTAGCTACCAGGGACTTTAAGATACAGGATGGGTTTTTTGCCAGCTGCCTAGCCTGAGAAAGATGGTTCTAGAATCACTGCAAAAGATCTGTCTCTGCCATTAATTGGGAAGAATGCTGGCAATGGCATAATCCGGTTAGTGGTCTGTATTAAACAATGTTTGTCTTGCCGTTCACTGTGAGGAAAAACGGAGCATTAAGGGGTACTTAAGAGAGTTGTGAATACTGGGCTTCAACAATCAGCGGCAAATTAAGGTTTAAACCAGCTTTCTTTCTTTCTTCTTCTTTTTTTTTTTTTGATTCACAGTAAAAGCTGTAGGGTCTTGTTAGTTACATGTTGCTGAGTAGAAACATTGAGATGGTGAAGAAATGAAATAAAAAAAGCTGCATAAATGTCATTTAGGAATTTTCAATGCAATTTTCTTTCCTTGTTCTGCAAACAATTATTCACAGCTCATAGATCTAGTATACTTAGACCGAACACTTCACTGCAAATCTCATCTCTTCAGAAAACCTATATCCATTCACATAAGGTTCAGTTGACTAATTTTAGCTTTTTTTATGCCTTGTGTTTAAGACCGAGAATTCATGGAGCAATAAAGCGAAGAGCATTTGTCAACAGCAAAAGCCACAGAGACGTCCCTGCTCAGAACTTCTCAAGTATCTGACCACAAATGATGACCCTCCGCACACCAAACCCACAGAAAACAGGAACAGCAGCAGAGACAAATGCACCTCCAAAAAGAAGTCTCACACACAGACACAGTCGCAACATGTACAAGGTAGGAGGAGGCCTCCGGGGGAAGGCAGGGCATGTGTAGGTCCCAGTGCAGGAACCTTGTTCTAAATTCCAATGGCAAGTCTCTGTGGAAAAAGAATCTAGTACTTTATCACAGTGAAGACAGACTGAATGGGTGTTGGACAGCTGGGAGGCAGCATAAGTCACAACCGCCAAAGGACACCTGAAATGTTAGCTTAGAAGGAGAGGAGATTACACCACACAGCTGTGAGGTTAGAATACAATTTTGGGTGGCTGAGATCACTGGAGTTAGGTGCAAGCTTCACTAGTCAAGCCATTATTACATAGCATTATTCCCACCCCTCCGGCCTTCTAACTAATGGAGAAAATGAGACACTGTGTATTTGCTCTCTTTACCTTTAGAAGTAGTAAATATTTATGTACACTCTGATTATAGGGTGCATTCTCTTCCTCCTCCTCCTCTTCCTCCTCCTTCTTTTGCTTCCTTCTTTTCCTTGCTTGCTTGCTTCCTTCCATCCTTTCCCTCTTCCTCCCTCCTTCCCTCCCTCCTTCCCTCCTTCCTTCCCTCCTTCCTTCCTTCCTTCCTTCCTTCCTTCCTTCCTTCCTTCCTTCCTTCCTTCCTTCTTCCCTTCCTTCCTTTCTTTCTGTTTTTCCTCTTTCTTCTCCTCCTCCCCATGCCCCCTCTGTCTCCTCCTCTTCCCCCCTTTTCCCTCCTCCCCTTCCTCCTCCTCCTTCTCTTGGACACCTGATATGCTCACAGATTAATTAATTTATTTTCTGTTCTGGGACTAGGGCTTGAACTCAGAGCCTTGTGCTCTTACTTTTTTTTTTTTTTTTGCTCAAAGCTGGTTGCCCCATCACTTGAGCCACACCTCTATTTCTAGCCTTTTGGTAGTTACTTGGAGATAAGAGTGATATGGACTCCACTGCTCTGGCTGGTTTTGAACCAGGATCCTTAGATGTCAAACTGTTGAATAGTTAGAATTACAACTATGAGCTTCAAGTGCCCAGCCACAGATTTTATTTTGTAGGTAAGGATTCAGACATTTTTCAAAAAATTTTTTTCAAAAATTATTGCCTATATTACAACATCTAGGGTTATGTATCATGAGGAGGCTGATGTTTCTGAGACAAATCAGGATATGCCCTCCAGAGTGTCCAGCTTTCTGCTGGTTAATTGGAGACAAGAGGCTCATAGTCTTTCTTGCCTGAGCTGACTGAACCTTGATCCTTGATCTGCAAATCTCAGCCTCCTGACCAGCTAGGATTACAGGCATCAGTCACTGGTGCCTGGCTTCCTGCTCTCAATTGGTTTCCCTGTTAGAGAGGCAAATTTACTGCCTACCTCTCTGTGTCAGTTTGGGAAATTGTATTTAATGGGCCCAAATTCCTTTCAATAGCTCCCTTTGTCCCTGTTGACTACCTATTGCCAAATGTGTCATAGTATGTTTTTTTTGGGGGGGGAGGGTCAGTCATGGGGCTTGAACTTTGGGTTGGGCATTGTCCCTCAGCTCTTCAGCTCAAGGTGAGCTCTCTGTCACTTAAGCCACAACGCCACTTCTGGCTTTTTCTGCTTATGTGGTACTGAGGAATAAAACCCAGGGCCCCATGTATGCATGGCAAGCACTCTACCAAGGAGCCACCTTCCCAGCCCCATGTGTCATAGTATTTTAAGAAACCGAGGACCTCCATTCTGAGGGGGTGCCTGGGCTGAGGCCTGGTACAAGGAAGCTGGTTGGGCTGGCTCATGTGAGGGAAGAGAACATTCGCTGTGTTCCTCTCAGCCTTACTGTGCTCATAGATACTTATCCTGGAGCTGACGTTTTGTTTTGAGCTTGGTGAAACTCTGAACAGAAACCCAGACCAGGTACACATGGCAACACACTCCCTCCTTCCCCCGCCTCTCTTTCTGTCTCTCTGTCTCTCTCTCTCTGTCTCTCACCCCTTTTGAATTTGAGTGTGTTTTTAAGTTCACTTATCTTTCATTTTTGCTGTAAACTTTTACAAATCCTGGTAGTGAAAAATTAAAGAGCCCTCTGGGGGATACATTTTCTAGATGAGACCAGCTACACGTGCATTATTTTAAGGTATATATCTCTGGTAAAGCATGAAAGGCTTATCCCAGAACAAAGCTTGCTGATTAAGGAAAAATAAAAAATAAATAAATAAATCCTGTCACTATTAAAGGCCTAAAAGAAATGAAACATGGCTGGCTATTAATAATCAAAGCTGTCTCAGAGATTACTGACATTCGTATTCAGAATGAGAAAGGAGGAAGTACATGAACAGTTAGAGGCAATGACAGCAGATGCTGTGATGTCACCTTTCTTCATGCATTGGAATTTTGTTCTCAACAAACTTTGCCTGAGTCCTCTGTAGTATCGTTCTTTTGTGCTCATTTTGTTTCCTTAGGATGATGGTCTAGACTTGTTGTATATGGGTAGCACATTTATTCATCTACTCATTCATTCATTCACAAGTGCATTTAACTAAAATCAATATAGTCTGCATGACAAAGAAATTTCAGCCCCACAGAGACCACCTTCATACTCTCTGGTCTGCTGGTCCTCGGAACAAGGTGGATGCACCTTTCCCTAAACCAAGTCAGCATCCTCTAGTGACTTTCTACTTTGGGTACTGCATTCTCCCTGTGGTTACACTTTCTGTTTGCCTTTGGTACCATTTAAATATGGCAGCTGCCAATTCTTCTTCCTCCATTGGCTTTGTCTTTACTTGCATCCAGACACCAAAATTTTAAGAGCCTTCCTTTGACCATTTCAAATGCCTTCTCTACATCTCAAAACCTGGATTTTCAGATTCTGCTTTTTAATGTACATTTATTGTATGATATAGAACATAATTACATCTCAGGTATTTTCTATAGAACTTGTACATATTATCCTAATTATGCACTGAACATAAAAGTGACTAAAGTTTCTGAGGAGAAACTCATTCTTTTGGAAGGCTCATTAAATTAGACAAACTCAAAAATTAATGTACAGCCAGCTAATTTATCTGTATATATATGAAAAACAATTAATTGATGTGCCTAATATGCAGAAGCTAGCATGGTTTTCGTATTTCTGGTTGTACATTAGATAGATCATATAGCACTCAACTGTTTAAAAACCAAATCTAAACCTACAAATTAAATATAAAATACTATATATCCAAGTAAAGTACCTAATCTCAGGCTAATTGGACATAAATAATATTTTCATATTTTAAAACACCTTAATTAGTGGGATTGATTAATTTACATTAAAATCTGTTGAATAAAATTCCTTTTGATAATGGGAGAAAGAAAACACCATTTTGGCCAATTCTGCCAATAACCAGTTTTTTTGTTTTATTTTGTTTTTGTTTTTTGGGTCCATTTGTGGGGCCTGAACTCTGAGCCTAGACGCTGTCCCTCAGCTCTTCATCTCAAGGTTAGCGCTTTACCACTTGAGCCACAGCGCCACTCCTGGCTTTTTTTCTTTTTGCTTATGTGGTGCTGGGGAATCGAACCCAGGGCCCCAGGCATGCAAGGCAAGCGCTCTACCACTGAGCCACCTTCCCAGCCCCCTATAACCAGTTTTATAGCTCTGCTAAGATCATTTGGCTCCTTTAGGTCTCTATCTTTTCATCCATAAAGAAATTTATTCCAAAGACCCTTTTGATTTCGACTCCATCAGTTTTATTACATAAATAACTATATCTTGACCTTCTAAAAGTGGTTATTTAATGAGAAAAATTTGACATACACCTACATACATACATCTCCACAAACATGCATATATGCTTATGGATATGTACACATGATAAGGATGTCTGCCTTAAGTATATTTCTTATCATTTAGTCCCTTCTTTCTGTTCAGAATGAAAGACTCACATGAAGATGTAGCTAAAACATAGGTGAAAAGATTTTTTTAATCATCACTGTCCTTTATTACTAGGAACTGCTTCCTGTAGAAAGTTAGATTTAGGAAAGGCTGAAAGGAAGTAATAAGTTCTTTATTGCATGTCTATGGAACTCTTAACTGATTGACATAGTCTCTTATTTCAGTTGTCTGTTGGATTTGTCAATGTGAACCCCATTCAAGCCATCTGGGTCAATGTCCACCATTTGCTGTCATCTCTCAATTAATTTCCAGTGAACGGAATGGTTATTGCTTGAGCTTTGGCCTCATAGACATAACCTATTCTCGAGGCTAGATATAAAATTATACATTTTAGGAGTAAAATCAACTGAATATTCATAACGTTCTGTCGCCTTGTAGTTACTCTGCTGTTTTCTTGTCTGAACAAACTGTGCACTATATTCCAAATTAAAACAGAAAACATTATTTCTCTCTGATGGTATGCTGCAAATTTTGTATCCTTAACAGGATGATACATTTTGGGGGAAAATTCTGTTTGGGTACGTGTTTTCAAATGGTAGTTTACTGATGCAAATGTTGTTTGGAATTTGTTTTAGCATAACGGACTGTTGTCTGACTTTGATCCAATATCCAAGGATTTCCTTAGTTTAGTTTCCTGGCTCTCTTTCCAACTTGAGTGCAGTAGACAGAAAATAAATCTGCAGAACACTCAATATTTTATAACTAGTTTCTTTCTCTCCCCCTCCCTTTAGCCAAACCAACAACTTTATCTCTTCCTCTGACCCCAGAGTCACCAAAGTAAGTATTAAGAAATGCAACCATTTTCAGAAAGGGAAGGGGATTCTAATACGTTTGGCTACAGCAACTCCATTTCAGTTTGTTTTTATAAATGTGCCATATCTTCCAGTGACCCCAAGAGTTCCCCATTTGAGAACAAGACTATTGAACGAACCTTAAGTGTGGAACTCTCTGGAACTGCAGGTAAGCCTCCTATTCCACCTGAAAATGTTGTGTGTATGGGAAAGATGTTCTTAGTTCCTACAACGTATATTCTCTATGCAATTAATTAAAGAGTGCCAACAAAGTTAGCAAAGTCATCAACAAATACCTTCAGTTGCTTATGCTGACAAGTGGAGTTAAAAAGTGTTTTACACAGAAGACATTTATTGTATTCAGAACCTTCTGCTGTATATTTTTGTTTTGGATTCTGAAGAATCCTATTTCAGATAAAGATGTAGAAACTTGAGTAGGAGGAGAAGTTAACATATTGGATTGCCTATCTAATAACTATATCAGGTATAGAAATGGTTCTACTAAATTTCACAGTGACCTCAGGAGGATATTGGTAGGGTTTTGTTGTTGTTGTTTCTTAGGTTTAATTTGAGGAAATGAGATTTAGAGATATTTAGGAACTTGCAGAGGATTGTTGAGCTGAAGAACAAAGGACAAATCCTTGAATTCCCTTTCTTTTTCGGAGATCAATACTTCACTTGGAATATTTTCACACTCTCCTATATTTAGCAGCATAATGCTATCCAAAGTATGTCACTATTTTTGTATCTTTCCAGCAAAAGAGAAAACTGAAAATATATCCATTCATCAAAACAAAATGTTCTTATGTGTTTTCCAACAAGAGTAATTTCCTTGGACCTTTGGGATCTCTGAACTTCTTTAGCCAGTCTTTGCTTCATGTGAAGAGAAAAGAGCTTGAACCGTTGGACTCGCTGAAGAGTTCCTAAGCAAACTTCTGAGTTGGTTGTCAATGGTGCTTCTCTGCTTGCTAAGTGCTTTAGGTTTAGGTACTTGAATTCTACCAGAAAGTGAATCTTAGGATGTCAGAACAAGAAGTTCTTTGGCTCTGGCCATTGCTGATAAGGATAAAGAAACAGTAAGTTAAACAAGATGCTTTCAACCAGAACTATGGTGCCTACATGCACCACAGTCATTGTCACTAAGTTTAATTTCACACTTTGAATTTGCTAAATTACCTCCTTATGAAAGGTCCACTGCATGATTGCATGATTTGGTCAAGCAGTAGAGTAGTTAATTTCATGGTATATGAATAGTATGTATATACAGGCGTATATATATATATATGTATTAGTTTTATATCTGTTTTATATTGCACACATAAATTCACTTCTTTAAGCATATGCATAACATTATTTTTTTAAAAAATTATAACACAGGTATGGTTAGAAGTAACTTTTTTTAGTATGTATTATATACAGTGACCAGAGAGGACAAGCAGTTGGCAGGTTCCTTTATAAAGTTGATTCAAGCAACTCTGAACTTTTAACATATCAGTGTGCTTTTGCTTGAAACATTTAAACACACATTAAAATATCAAATTGATATTTTGGCTTAAATGTGGCAACTAGGGATCCATTTGTCTTTCTGCCTTCAATCACATGAATACCATGTGCCATGTCCTAGATAGTATGCCCTATTTTTTCTGTTCTTTGAAGGAAAATAATTAAATACATGTGGTGCACGTGTGTGTGTGCTTGCACTCACCTGTACCCTCCTGTGCACACCAGTTCTAGGGCTGAAGTCATGTGCACATTCCTGTGCACACCAGTTCTAGGGCTAAAGTCAGGACCTGGGCACTGTCTCTGAGCTTCTTTTGCTTAAGGCTAGTGCTGTACCACTTGGGCCACAGCACCATTCCCAGCTGTTTTCTTTGTAGTTTATTAGAGAAAATAGTCTCATGGACTTCAGACCACGATCCTCACATCTCAGTCTCCTGAGTAGCTAGGATTTCAGCCATGAGCCACCAGTTTTTGGCAAGAATTGAATACATTTATAACAGCAATTTGAGTGTGAAGTTTTTCTATATTTTTTAAATGATTTCCCCCCATTGTTGCATGATAACACCAACTCCAAACAAATTAATAGTATTTTTCTTTTAGCAACTTACCTTTACTATATCCTCTTAGAGAAACAATTTGTCAACTCCTATTTCATTTATGTAATATTTTTGTCAACTAATGTAACGCCAGTCACTGGTACCATGAACATGAACACATTTGGGAAAATATACTGCTTTGGCTCTGAGTGATAATTCAGCTCAGAAGAATCTTTTCATCGTTATTCCTGGAGTTAGTCAGTGACTCGCTTTTAGAGAAGGGTAAAAGCGCTTCCGTATGTGTACTAATTCCAAGCTTTTCATTAAAGAAACACTTTTGTTAATTCTATGATTACAAATGTAAGCTTACTGTAAAAAATGTAAAAAAATAAACGTTGAAAAATTCTTTACAGTCTTAAAACATAGAAACATCCATAGCAATGTTTTTTATGGCTATTCTCATTTGCTTGTAATAATTTTGTATATCTGTAAGAGCATGTATATAAAATTTTGCATATACTGATTTTTCGATGACCATTTTAATAATTTTTTAATCATCCTAAACTCTTTACTGTTGGGCTATATTAGTTTGATTAGGCCGATCAAGATTTATTTAAGCATACTTCTATTATCATATATTTAGATTGCTTTATAATGTATCTTTTTGAACTAGCACTACAGTGGAATATTATATAGAGAGAGAGGGAATGACAGAGAAAAAGTGTATATACATGTATATATATATATATATATATATTGCGTGTGTGTGTGTGTGTGAGTGTGTGAGTGTGTGTGTGTGTGTGTGTGTGTGTGTGTGTGTAGTATAGTGTATGCATACCAGGTCTGGGGCCCTGAGGCCCACGTGCTGTCCCTGAGCTTTTTGCTCTAGGCTAATGCTCTACCACTTGAGCTACAGCTGTGTGTCTAACTACTCGTGCAGGTAATTTGAGATGAGAGTCTCCCAGGCTTTCCTGCCTGGGCTGGCTTCAAACTGCAATCCTCAGATCTCAGCCTTCTTGAGTAGCTAGGAATACAGGCATAAAATACAGGCACCCAACTTGTCCATAAATTTTTTTAATCTTATTTTTCTTAAATAGGTTTCTAACAGTTATTAATGCCAAAAATAAGCTCATAAATATCTGAAAAAATCTGATGTATATACTGTCACCTGTTTTTCAAAAGGATGTTTCTACATGTAGCCCTATTCGTATTGAATACACATCCTTGCTGTACTGTAACTTTACTGACATTGGGCATCCTCATTGTTAAAGTATTTTTCTAATTTGTAAATGTATTATTTACTTACATCTCAACTGTAAGACAGTAGTATTTACAAAGAAATTTGAATATTTATTCTTATTGACAGATTTCTTTATGTTTGTGGTGCTAAGAATGAAGCTCAGTGTCTTACATATGTTTGATGTTCACTCTACCACTGGGCTACATGAGTAGCCCAGGAATGCAATTTTAAGCAGTTTATTTATCCTTTGAGAACTCTATAACCCACTCAATTGAATTACAGGTAGAGATTTTTTTTGTTGTTACACATGGGGCTTGAACTCTGGGCCTGAACGCTGTCCCTCAGCTCTTCAGCCCAAGGCTAGCGCTGTACCACTTGAGCCACTCTGCCACTTCCAGTTTTCTGTGTGGTTTATTGGAGATAAGAGTTTCAAGGACTTTCCTGCCCAGGCTGGCTTGGAACCATGATCCTCAGATCTTAGCCTCCTGAGCTGCTAGGATTACAGGCGTGAGCCACCGGTGCCCGGCTTCAGGTAGAGATTTATATTAAAAAAAGTTTTTTAATACTAGAAATCCATAAAAATTTTTATATAGTCTACTTAATGATTCACTATCATGTCATTTTAATACTTTATTCTGGCACTGTTGAAAAGTTATTGGGAGCAATGCAAACTAATTTTCTGACTCTGTGTGTGTGTGTGTGTGTGTGTGTGTGTATGTGTGTGTGTTAATACTGATGCTTGAACTCAGGGCCTAAGTACTATCCCTTAACTTTTTTGCTCAAGTCTGGCATTCTACCACTTGTGCCACATTTCTGCCTTTGTGGTGGTTGATTAGAGATCAGACTTTTCACCTTATCACAGACTTGTTTTCCCTGGGTAGTTTGAATCACAATCCTCAGACTTCAGTCTCCTGAGTGGCTAAATTTACAGGCATGAGTCTGGTTTATCTACATATTTTTAATACTTGCTCTATATATTTCAGGTCCTGGTTGGTATGTAGCAAATGTAAGACTTGGAGACACATGTATGAGAAGCATGAAACATAATGCTTGTCCATAATGTACATTAAATAAATATTCTCAGGCTTCACCCATGGGGTTAATCTCCAGAATACACTACCTACAGATAAGCAGCAGGAAAGGAAGAATATTTGTGATATATAACGTTTTGCTACTTTCTAGAAAAAGGTGGGACCAGATAATGACTTTTAGTTTGTTGAGCATGATGGCAATAATAGGAAGATAGAAGGCTGGAAAGCTGAGGTAGAGCCCGTTTGTGGTGATGGCAGAGAAGGAATTTAGAGCTATGGGAAAACAGACATGAGGAAGGATGCAAAGGATGTAGTAGGGGTCTGAAAGGTGAAGTCTGGTGGTAGAAGGAAGAGACGGAGCATATGATGTCTTTGGGTCACTATCTCCTTTAAAGCTCATCAGGAAAATGTATTACTTGTGTTTGGAGGAGACAAACATTGACTACATCTCAAGAGAATCAGGAAGGGATAAAAAAGGGACTGTCCAAGGGGAATAATATAATAACATAGCTTCAAAGTTAAAGACCATGATTATGGGAAAGATTTACAAGAACCTTGAGGACAGTTGAAGGAACAGAAAGTAATGTTAAGGCCCATTATCTCAGTGAATGATGTAGTGATGCGTGATGGAAATTGAACTCTCAACAGGTGAAACTGACTTGGGAAGTCTTAAGGAAGGAACGTATTTGCATCTGAGCTTAAAGTACTGCGTGAAGTGGAGAGGAGATATTGACATAAGGATGGAAAAAGAGGCAGATGCTCAGATGACATGAGCTTGATGTGGAATTGAAAATAGGGAAGATTAGTTAGAGCGCTCACTTCTCTCCATCACATCCGGTTGCTAAGACTCCTTTTCTCTCTC